TAGAAAAAGGTCAAATGCAGGAAAGAGAAAGCTTAAAAGCATGCATTCAGTAAGACGATGTTGCCAGCAGAAAAAAAATAATAAAAAAACAGGATGCTACGCATAACACATTTACTTGATTAACAATATAAATTTGAATAGATTGATCCATTTAGAAAACGAGCATTGCTTTATTTCAAAGCAAATATATAGCGTTTTTCGAAGACACTTCGCCAAAATGGATTTGAAGAAGAAATAAGATGAATTTGAACATGGCTGACTTTAAGGACCACACCAAAATAAAAGACATTGTCAAATGAGCGCCCATTAAGACTGTCACCTTAGCAACGAGCAAAATAAACAAAAAAAATCAGAGCTACGAATCAGTGTCGTCTCCATGGCGCTTTATTATCCACCCGCTCGAGCGCCACAATGACAGATTTTGGCGTAAGGTTAAAAGCTTTTACGTGATTACGGTCTTTGCAGTCTACAGACTGCGTAAATATCTTACAATGAAGAACAACGTGAGCGAAACCACGAATTGCACTCCTACTTCACTATCAATGCCATATTTATCAAAGGTACTCATATCGTGTTATGTGAAGCACATGAAATTTAGCCGAGCAAACGCTTTTGGCTCAAACGCGGTAAACGGTAATTTAGCCGTGTAGAAAATTGCAGGGTCCAGACGAGACACCCGAATTCACGGCAAAACTTCACAACTAACGTTTGTATTCTATTCCACTATCTGGGTCTCCTCGTCGTATCCAATGCTGGATTGTGCCTCTAAGTAGAATCTCTAATCAACTCCAGTTTATTTGTATTTCAAAACTTCGCAATTAGAAGTAGGCATCAGACTCCTCGAAGATGTTCAGAAAACCTTTCTCGGTGAAAAAGAACAACAATATGAGGAATTCAGACGTGTATGTTGCTTTTTGTACTTTGTTTTTGTATAGCAAATGAGTTTTTAAATCGTATTTCTTTTCAGAAAGAAGCTCCTCCAGAGGCTGCCACCTGAAGTTGGAGAATTAGTTCCAAAGAAGGCGATGGTTGCTCATGCAAAGTTTGTCACCTTCAATGGGGCTAGCTTGAATGTATATTTGGTCGATAAGGATCCCATGTTCTTCGATTTCGATGCCGAAGGAGTGCTTTTTCCAACGGTATATTGCACGAAAAGCGCTCCCATCGCTTTCCCCATGCTGCTTGGTACACGAATCTGTTCTTTCTCATCTGGAAAATGGAGCCGATCTTATGCTTCCAGGTGAGTTCAGTTGTTGCTATGTAGTTCCATAATAGTTGGGTTTATACAATTGCAGTCTAAAAACCCAGAATTATTTCAAAGAGCTCATAAAGTTCTTTTCTTCGTTCACAAGAATGCTGGGTATGAACGAAACTTTTGCTCCAGCCGACACCCAAACGCTCCACTCCTCACCGGCACGTGCGCTCCTAGGATCACGCCTTGCTGCGTTAAGGAGAGTTCGCGTTCCAATCCTGCACCTTGTGCAATTTTCTGTTTTCATAACCCACTTGTGAAACCTTCGCAAGGCTGGGCCCAACAGCAGTTAACAATCAAAAACAAGAACTTTTTCTTTCCAAGTGTTTGTCCCACTTGATGACAAGATCTGCTCTTCTTTCCTGAATGAACGCCTGATCGCCCGCTGCACTGATAAATGCCTGCAAACTTGAAGTGCATTTAAATTCTGTAGTGTAGCTGGAACCTTCTACGGCCTAAGCATATATCGTACGCGTTCCAAGACCACCCTATCCGATGTTCCGTGTTCGTTTCTTTCCAACTTTCCTGTAGGAAAACATGTATTGTACTGTTACTCACAACTGCAAGGCCCACCTCATGTCAGAAAACGGTTGTGCATTTGTATATGATGAAACGGCATCATTTCGTCTTCGTTTCCAGTCGAGAAGTAAGCAAGCCGAAACAATCATTGCAATCCTTCGAGTTACAAATCCCCTTCTCTTCACCAGTTGAGTATGTGGTAGGGTGCCGATTGCTCGGTGGTTCGCTAGGACAGAAGCGACTTTACCGCTTTTCGCAACGCGAAACTGCTCCCGTTGCGGGAATCCCGGGTCCACTCTTGATCAGTGGTGGACCTGAGTTCCCGCAGCGAAAATGTTTCGCGCTGCGAAAAGCGGAAAAGTCGCTTTCTGTCCTCACGAACCACACTCGGCTGCTCGTCGACAAAAGCACGTCCATCAATTCACGTCCACTGGTTCAGGTGGACTTTAGAAAAACTGAAGTCTCCTTGAAAGAAACCAGATGCTTTTTTTGCCTTTTCAACTACATAAAAAACAACTACATGAAAAAAGCTTATTTTAAATATTGATAATCCAGGAATTTTACCTTGAGCTAGTGTAATTTATTGATTTTAGCACAGTGCGAAGTTGTTCGAGTTGATTCGCCATTGTTTCTTCCTTTTTCCTTTTACCAATACCTAATTTTTTTAGGAGTTGTTCACAACCAGAATTTACCTATGCGGCAGTTTAATCGCGGAGATGTCGTAACCATTTCAATCATCAGCAATGGGCAAGTGGTGGGACCAGTAGCGGTTGGCGCCGCACTGATGTCATCTCAAGATATGATAGCTAACAAGTTTACAGTAGGTATTACTACAGTTATTTCAATCAGAGATTTTCAAGTGTATTCATAGTCAGCATGCCGAGTAGGATCATAAGTCTTGGGTCATTCTCATACTTTTGTTTTCAGGGCAGAGGAGTTCAACCGCTACATATGTACAGGGATTTTCTATGGTGAGATTATGTTTATGAGTTTGGGACAACTGTTTTCTCATTGAAGCTGTCATTGCATTCGGAATTTCACTGAAAGTCAGCATTTGTTTACTTGGGTTGTTTGATTTTTGAATCACACTGCTGTGTTTGAAATAGTCTAAATAATCAAAGCTCCAAGTTTCCACCAAGTACCGGTAAATGTTTAGGGAATTTGGATCGCGAGTGGTTCCTTCACCATTGGACTTGAAATCCCTATTTAAAGTTGAAGAACCGACTGAAACATCCGCAGAAGAGGAATTCCCACCGCTAGGTGCTCTGTCCGTCTCCGAGCACAGTGGCGATGTTGCACCTAAGGACGCAAAAGGTTAGTTAATGCCATCCTGGAAAGGGTGCATAAACCACCAGTAATGTAGCTCCCACGATGTAAAGCGGGCCACTATGCTTTTTGCACAAGGTTTTTGAAACTGTTATTTTAGAGGAAGGTTCTGCTCCAACAATCGCTGAGGAGGCTAATGATGGCGACGTAGAAGAAGAACCCATGGATCAGCTAGTAAGGTGTTTAGCCTGCCGATTGTTATAAGAAAATGTGCTCATAAGAGTCCCAAAAATTCATGTTGCAGTTATATCGATGTTTCCTAGCTGCGCTGAAATACAGATTAGACCAAGTGCCTATGGACGTTGGACAGGTCAGTTTTCTCAAGTCCAGTGCTATTTTCATAGATTTTCTTGGCTTTTTTGGACGAACTATTCAAAATTTATTTATTCAAGTCATTTGTATTTAGTTTTACGCACAATGCTTGCTCAAGTGTGTTCCAAACGGGAAGCGACTGGAAATGAAGAAAACGAAGTTCAAGAAGTTCAGTGTCTTCCTTGAAGAGGTAGGCGATTAATCATAAACTGGAAATTTATTTATTTTCGTAATTCCTAATTATTTAATACCAGATGTATTGTAGAGGTGTATTGTAGGCTAACAAAAGCGAGGACGGACCACTTGTTAAGATCCGGAAAGAGGGAAAAGGCTGTGATCTGATAGAAGAGGTTTGTTTCTTCCAGCGGCTACAGAGTATCTCCTAATTGTGTCCTTATCAGGTATTCAAAAACCACCCTGCTCTACGATCATTTGTAGTCACGGATGAGATTACAAAAGATGAAGATCCGGGAGCAACCAAGTCGGGGCCAAAAATTTACGAGTACTTCTCGGTACGTTTTCATTTACTTTAAGACTCACGACTACCAAAGTCAATTATCAATTATTATTGTTATCCCTCTAAATCATGTTCATTCTTCTTTTCAAGATCACGGAAAATGTACTACCCTTGTTCAAAACCAGAGGCAACTTCTTCAAAAGGGCAGTTGTTGGAAGGTCCGCAGATCCGTGAAATTGTCACTAATTATGTTAAGAGCGAGGTTTGTTTCCGAATTTATTATTTTAGTTAATGTTAAAAACGTGTTCAATGTCAACTGAGCTGTTTTAACTTACCCTTACCTTACCTTCAATTTCCCTCACAAAAAAAATGAATCGCTCTCTACCACGTGATGACAAGAAAATGTAAAGGTTGAAGCGACCCTAGAACCCCCCCCCCCCCACCCCCCCCCCCTCACCAAACCTGTGGTAAGCAAATCAGAAATATGTGAACATCACGCACATTTGTTGACAAATCAGTGGAAGGAATTGGTCTGTGATTTTTATGCTATTAGTTCCTTTCTTCAAAATCATCTTCTTCAGGAACTGAACCAAGGTAAACATATACGACTCGATCCAATCCTTGCCCAAGTAACGAGAATACCTGAGGATACTGCAGATTGGAATACAGTTTTACAGAAAATTCAGGTTGGAAATATTTGTGCATTCATCTTTTCTCGGTGTTTTATTTACAGATTGCGGTAATTATCGATTTCCAGAGCAAAATGACAAAAACGTTTGTGCTGCGAATGCCAGATGGCCGGGAGCTTATCAGGAAAATCAATATGCCAAGGATTGTGTTCAAGGTTACTTGGTGTTACAACATGTTACTTGTACAGCGTTCATAGTAAATCAAGAGAAAAGCCGTAGGCAAATTTGAAGAATATCTTAAATTATGAAATATTTAGGTGGAAACTCGTTCAGGAAACAAAAAAGTCACTTTGATAAACAATTTATCAGCTTTTGGTATCGAAGTAAAGAAGCTATGCCATCAAATACAGGTATAAAAGGCTATATGAAAACAGAATATTCAGATATTTCGGTAAAAACCTATTCGTGCTAATTTAAGGTGGAAGCGGCAACGAGTGCAACCACCACAAACGAAGCGGTCAACTGCGAGGGACCACAAGTCACAGTTCTGGGAAATCATGTAAGAATATTGTCAGCATGGATTTGCCCTATGTTCAATTATATTCCCTAATTCCTATTATGAGTCAACAAAAAAAGAGAAGTTGAGCAAACGTTCGAGAGGAACTCGTATTTTCCTTTTTGTAGGTTACCTACCTCGGCGATTTGTTCGCAAACGAATATGGCATCGATAAGAAATACATGGACGGCCTTGATCTTGGGATAAAGAAAAAGAGGAAATAGTCTTATTCGGGTCAATCTGCTTGTTTTCGGGTGAAGAATAAATATGCCTTGTCTATACGTGTACATGTCCTTAATAATACCATGTCGATTACTTTTCCGGTGGGAAGGCTTTTGTGTGAAGACCTGTCGCAACGATTCGGTTACTTTCTTTCAAAATTAGATCGGCCTGGAATAATACGATCAATATGGGAAGTGAATTATTTCGACTGGTTTCAAAATCTCGACAAATGCAAACATACCCTAGTGAATGCTAGAGTTTTGCCAGCTTTAATAACTTCAGCATCCATTATTAAGGAATCTCCTTCTCGTGCTGCTGCCAAGTACCTGTAAAAAAAGGTTGGCCAGAAAAATAAAACTGATAAGGCGCAATGCGCTCCGTTCCACTTCGTTTCTGAGAGGGACTATCAACATAACGATCATTAATAGTCCGTATCGGATTCGGCCCCGGGCCGCACAGCTGGATTCGGTTCACATGTTTGTGAACCGAATCCAGCCCGTCCAGCGGCGCTCGTCACTGCCCCAACGCTACAGACGCAAGTCGGTATACCATGCATGCTTTACTGCTGCAAGTGAAGTGTCTATAG